AAATCTAAGTTGGAATTAGATAGTGACAGAAATGGTCATATGTGCTCCACATGTGTCTTATAAATTATTTTGATTTATCACTAAGAAAATGAGTGACAGATGCAATATGTATTAAAAATGTATTGTTGCATGTTTTATAAATGTATTATTAGTGTGTTACCTAAATTATTCTTGTTGGTATGACTAAGAAATGAGTGAAGTGTGCAATATGTATTATAAATATACTATTCATGAATAAAACATGTATATATATATCTTATAAATTATTTTCATTTGTATCACTAAGAAAAAGAGCGATGTTTGCAATATGTATTACAAATGTATTGTGCCTATCTTATAAATGTATTGCAAGTGTGTTACTTAAATTATTTTGGTTGATATCACTAAAAAGGGAGTGAAGGTTACAATATGTATTATAAATGCATTGTTCATGATTTTAATTCAATTTTAATACAATTATGAAACATATCTAATATAACTTTAATACAATTGTGATACAATTCCATAAGCTTCACCTTTTTCGAGTTTCAATCTAATATTTCTCCTAAAATCAATTATAAACTTAACTAAATCCTCTTAAAATTAAGATATAAACTTCAAACGACATTTTCAATTATTTGTAGGAACAACCTATTCAAACTAATCACAATTTCGTAAAATTCATATAATGAATTCAAAATTTGAAGCTTTATAATGACCATTAATAGTGAACTCTTGCTACTGCAATTTTAGAGATTTGAAATTTCTTCTTGAGAACATGATTTTGTACAAATTTTCGGTCTTTCTGTTTCTCTTCTCGTCGTGTTTTTGGATAAAAATAGTGAAATGCGAGCAAAAACTGATTTAAGAATAGTTATTTAAATGAAAATTTCATCACAGAAGAAGAAGAAAAAAGAAAGAGGAGCAGGAAGAGAAGAATGACAGAAAGAGACGAAGAAGAAGAATAAAAGAAGAAGAGGAGAAGAGAAAAAAGGTCAGAGAAAGAGGCGAAGCGCAGATAGACAGAACAATTTTTTTAATTTCAAAGAATTGTTATATTTAGTTAGAAAAATTATATTGCCATAAATGGTAAATATTTTTTTAATATAACATATTTATGTGATTTACCCTTAAAATATTTAATATGAATTAGTTTTAAAAGAAATAGTATGTGGTTTAGATAGTTTAATTCTTTGTAGGTACAATACAACTAGTTTCAAGTATAATTTGTTTTCTTCAGCAAAATAAAAGAAGTTGGAGGAAAATGACTTCTTGCCACCGCCAAATAAGATCTGAACGTCAAATGTTATTATGGTGTGTAACAATAACAATCATTCGCTATAGCAGCCAAAAATATGTATGTCATTACGAAGAGGTTCAACTTTGTCTTTCGTAATTACACTTATAATCTCAATCCTCAACATTCTTGAGGAAAACATAGCAATATTTGCTACTTCACCTTAACTAAGATATTATGCATAACTTGAAATAACATCATACATACAAAATAAAATTCCATTTGATGCTTCAAACTCGCTCACAACAGAGTAATATCGAGGATGGAAGTATTACCAAACTCGTGGACGACACCATCTGGACATATCAACTTGGCCTTGGGACCTGCTGATCTAAATGCGGTTCAGCATTTCAAGCGTAGTCATTCTTTGAGCCAGAGGAGCATATTTTAGGCATACTGCTGGAAGAAAATCTCGCGATAAACATGTTTACCTGTTAAAGACACAAAATGATACAATGGGGATTTGAGCAATTACAGTTTCTCAATTTTGAAGTGCAGCTGGAGCAGTGAAAAAACATCAGAATTTCATACGCGAAAAACTCCTTGCTCAATATTTCCTTCTTATACTGATGAAAGAAAAGTGAAATTCGAGAGAAAAGAGAAAGTACCTTTCTTCACCTACACTCTGCGGACAGATCACAGTTGAGCTGATATTTGTCTATTCAGTAGAGAATTTCGGCACAACTGACGAAAGAAAGAAAAAAGATGGTTAAGCTGAGATCAGATAATAAAGTTAAGATTGTGCTTAGGCTTTTAGATGTTAAGTTATGGGAAGACAAGCTTTCTGTCTCGTGTGCGTTTGAACTCTCTCAGTAGAAATATCAAAAATCAAGAGTTAAACATGTGCATTACTCTAAAGTCTAAACCATCTCCTCCTTCCTCAACCCATGGGAAAAGAAACAATACGTTTCTTTGATAAGTTAGAAGAAAATTAAACCTGGATGTAGTCCATTTAAGTGAACATTTTTAAGCCGGTGAACTTGGTAGAGCAATTGAATGTTAATCAAGGTTGAACTGTACAATACATAGAGCTTGTGTCAGCCTCAGCTGTAACAAGTCAAGCTAATAGAAAAAAAAGAAGGAGAATACCGCAAAATTGAATTCTCAGGACAGTAAATTGCAACAAACTCATTAGATAAGACTACATCATATTTTGAACAGGTTATGCTGTCAGCTACTACTACTACTACTACTACAATATAAGCATCTCGGCAACTGAAACATGAGTAAATCGTTTTTGTTATCTAACCTTGAATTTGTTCCGAGTAGGATACACTTCCTTGCCTTTCCCCTAGTTCTGAGGTCGCACTCGAGGATGAGTACTAATGGGAATAATTTGACGGAAATTTCATAATCTCCAAAGTTATCAGCTTACTGTATATATCTTCAGCCAAATTTCTGAATATCCAAAACAAGAAACTGATGTTTTAACCATTGTGCTAAAAATCGATATACTGACAAAAGTGATGTTTTAGCTATTGTGATAAAGAACCATATCTACCTATGTAAATGGTAAAAGATTTGTAGTACATTAGCATTACTTTGTGCTATCAACCTTCTAGGGAAAATTATCAATTCTAACCTACACTTGGTTTCTTTTACAATGACTCAGAGCAAGTTTAAAGATTACATTAGTTGCAACATATCACCTTTTTGTCATCTAATATTTGAATGAAAATGCTTCGCTCCACACAGTGGCAATAGATGATCCACACTGTTCAACACTACTAAGAAAAACAAGAAGAATTAACAAACAAGGAAATGGAATGTAAACAGAAAAACGGAGATAGGAAACAAACTTTGTGTCTTGTATACCTCTGAATTCTATTAGAGCTATGCATTTATGAGTGAGCATGTGCATTACTCTAAACCTCCATTCTCCTTAGTCCAAGCGCTGAAAAACGGAAAGAAGAAGACTACATGAAGTGCTATTCAGATGAAATTTCAAGCAATACAAGAACTAAATATTTTCAAGTAAGATTTATAACAAGAATACATGAATTGCTGTTGAATTGAATTTACAAAGACATTAAACATCCGGCTGATATATATGTTCCTGGTAAAAGATTATTAGTTCGTTATATTACATTGAGCTATCAACTTTCCGAAGCAAATAATTTCAATTCCTACATATACCAGCTTCTGTTTTATCACCTTTTTTGATGTCATCTAAAATTAAATTCATCCCGATCCAAAGATGATTCCTCAGCTTCACATTGGCAATAGACGCTTTGTGCTGCTCAAGGATTTAACAAAGGAAAAGAATTAACAAGCAAGAAAAGGGAAGTAAACAAAAACATAAATGAAAAAATAACTTACAATTTTTTTTAATCATTACTGGTATTCCCAATCAATATCTATGGTGGGAATATGAGCAATTTTTGGCCAGTAATCTCCCTTGTCAAATTGTAGGAGTGGTTTGAGCAATGGGCATTTGTAAATAAATAGTTTAGAGATGGAAGGGGGCATCCCTTTTACTGGAAGTGATTTGAGATTAGGGCAAGCCTTAATGCACAGCTCAGAGAGAGAGGAGGGCATCCCTGTTACTGGAAGAGATCGGAGATTAAGGCAATTAGAAATGTTCAGTACAGAGAGGGAGGAGGGCATTCCCGATTCAGGAAGGGATTGGAGATTAGAGCAATGTTGGATGGTTAGCTTAGAGAGGGAAGAGGGCATCCCTGATTCGGGAAGAGATCGGAGATTAAGGCAATTAGAAATGTACAGCACAGAGAGGGAGGAGGGCATTCCCGATTCAGGAAGAGATTGGAGATTAGGGCAACCCCAAATCTCTAGACACCGAAGCCACATGAGACGCTGAAGACCTTCGGTTGGTAGTGAATGGAGATTATGATGGTGATGTAAGTGTAGCTCAGAAAGAGAGGAGGGAAGCCCTTCTTCCAGCAGTGACTGAATTTGAGGTAAATTAACAGCATTTAGGCACTCTAGAGAGGTGAGGCTTTTTAGAAGTTGGCTGCTTAATGTTTTCAGATTGGATATAGTAAGCCTTCGAATAGAGCAAGGCAACTCCCATTTTTCACCAGCAAGAACCTCTTCATCGCTACCATCATGGTGGATGGTGAAATCTATGAGACAGGGGAGTCTCTGTAAATGCCACTCCTTTGGCCATTCACCAGTTCTGCAATAGTCGATCTGAAGGACTTGTAAATTGAAGGGCAATCCTCCTTCAGGAAAGGACTCTATTTCTGGACAACGCCATAGTTGCAGTTCCTTAAGAGATGGAAGAAGTTCCTGCATATGCTCTGGCAACGACTTCAACATCTTGCAGTCGTGAATATGCAATGACGTCATCATCTGAGACCCACATGCCACTGAAAGTATTTCAAGATTCTCACAATCTCTAATACTGACTGTTTCAGTGGCAGTAGGAATCAAAAGCCTAGTAAGGTTGTTGCAACTTCTTACACTCAAATTGCGTACTCTTGGGAACAACTCAGGTGAATCACATCCTTGTAGAGACAATTCCTCGAGAAACATAGCATTCATTGATGCCTCCAATTTCAGTTCCCCGCAACCAGAGACTTCTATACTTTTCATAGTACTCGGCAGAATACTAATTGGTAAGGAGGTAAGAGACTTACAATCAGTAATTACTAATTTAACAATCTGTTTCATTCCTTCAAGTTGAGATGTAAACAGTTGAGCATTCGCAAAAAGAACTCCAACCTTAGGAGAATAAGCAACTTCAAACTCTTTTAAATTTGAAAGTTGGATAGGTGTCTCCAAACTGAGTTCAGGGCATTTTGAAATTCTCAATCTTTTCAGAGAAGAAAGATTTTCAGGCAATTTTCCTATCAACTTTGGGCAATCTTCAATTGAAAGTTGCTCGAGTAGAGGGAATTCTCCCTTCCCCAGTACATGCCACTGCTTCCACTCCGGCATCTCTGCGAATTCAAGCTCCTCAAGGGACTTAAATGGCTTTGTGATGGACAAACTACCATAGAACTCTTCACTCACCTCTGTTATTTGATGCATCCCTCTAATGTTAAGGAATTTTAAACAAGGAAGCTGTCCTAGTGCTGGCAAGGAATCACAGCCCTGGCAGTAGCTAAGAGACAATTCCATTAGCTTATGAAATGAATGATCAGCTAGCCAATTTGGAAATTTTGTCCATCTATATCCGTTAATTTGGAGTACTTTTATGTTTGTATTTGGTTGTAGCTCATCAAGTATCTCTCTTTCAGTTTGTGAATTGTCAGCAAAACTTCCGCTCCACTCCAAAGATAACCTTTCAACATGTTCCTTTTTCCTCATGTTTGCCTTCAGAGATTCCCTTCCATCTACCATATGTTGCAACTCTAGAATTGATAGAGATCCATACAAGTTATGTAGCTCACCCAAATCTTCCATTCTCGAACCACCGCGACCAGTAAGAAGAAACTTGGCTCCCACTAGCACATGGAGACTTTTCAACTTGTTCAGATGTAGGGGTCTCCTCAAATGAGCTTCGCTAATTTCAAGGTGACGCAAGTTGATCAATTTTTCCATATGCAGAGGTAGCTCCTTAAGATAACTACAATGTGACAAGAGTAGTGTCTCTAAGTTGTACAGTACACAAATTGAATCTGGCAACTTTTTTATCTTTGTCCAAGAGAGGTCCAAAAATCTTAGGTGCTTTAATTTGATAAACAAGTCATTTGGCAACTCCTCATTCTGATAATCAGACAATGATAGTGCCCTTAGGGATGTTAGTCTTGGCAAAATGTCATGCAGCACCCTCTTGCTTAGACAGTATAAATTCTGCTGGATATTGATGGGAAGCAATGTCCTCAGCTGCTCCAATTTGTACAAGGGTTTCAACTTTTTAAAGTCACCTTGGCCCATTGAATAGGATATGTGCCTACTTTGTTCCAACATATGAGATCCTTGGTTCTCTTCCAACCTGATACACAGATTTGAAGATGCAATTTGGGCCAAATCATTGACAAGGTCATGCATTAAGAATTCCCCCGGATTCCAAACAGAAGACTCTTGGGCCCTTTCAAACAATGATCTCGATCTCAACTCAAGAAAGTATTGGTTAGCTGAATGCAACTGCTGTACAAGACCATTAGCAATCCACAGGTAAATAACTTGTTCTTTGCAAAATAGATAATCTTTGGGATATATTGCACAAAAAGCAAAACACCGCTTCAAATGTGGACGAAGATCATTGTAGCTCAACATCAACGCTGGTAAGATTCCATTCGAACAACTTTGCAGCTCCCATATTTCACTTCTTAAAATGCCTCTCCACTCATCCACCTCTGATTTGGAGCGTAAAATACCAGCAAGTGCCTTTAGAGCTAAAGGCAATCCTTTGCACTTGTGTGCAATTTGTATTCCAACCTCTTCAAGTTCTGGATGTTCCTCAGGATCCCTATTTTCAAATGAATGCCGCTTGAATAGATCCCAAGAGACTTCACTAGACAGAGTTCCCACGTTGATTGCGCCACAACCCATCATCAAGGCAACATTCTCCTTACGTGTCGTCACAATGATCTTACTTCCTACATCTCCTTGTACAAAAAGATTTCTCAAGTCATCCCACTCTTTATAGTTTTCATTCCACACATCATCTAGGACAATAAGAAACTTTTTCCCCTTTAAGGCTTCCTTCAATTTGACTTGAAGTTGATTCAGATTGTTATCAACCTTTAAACCAACTTCTTGAAGTAACTCCTTTGTTATTCTGAGAATATCATATGGTTCAGACACACAGATCCAAGCTTTCAAACCAAAATGGTTTTTTACTTTCTCATCATTGTAAACAGCTTTAGCAAGTGTTGTCTTGCCCACGCCCCCCATTCCAACAACAGGAACTACCGTCAGATTCTTTCCATCCTCAGACAACAAACGGTCAATCAATCCCTCTATTTCGTTCTGCCTACCTAAGATATCTGATTCATCAACAACAGAAGTTGAAGATTCCCTTGTTTCTTGTTTACCCGAATCAAGATACTTTGTTAGATCAAGGCGACCAATTTGCTTTTCCAACTCCTCCAATGTTTCAATGGTGTCTTCCAACTTCTCCTTTATGTTAAGAAAGAAATCATCACTCAAGCTCAGGTTAAGGTCACTTACTTGCTGGTTGCTTGTTTCTGCAAGATTTTGATGCTGACCTTCCACCTTTAGTCTCAAAACCTCATAATTGACTTCTTCTATTAAGTTTTCAGCACCGTCCACAGCATCTTGAAGCTCATTAAGCCACTGGCTCACGTATGGATTTGATGTTTGCTTGATCTCTGCATCACTTAAAACAGCCTGAAGACCAAGCAAAGTCATCCTCAGCTTCTTTAAGAGCCGAACATCACACTTGTCCCTCTTAAACATCTTCAGCAGATCACCGTTAGGAGCAAGCCTATCAAAGAGAACATTCAAAGCTGAAGAGAGAAATGCACCACCAACTGCTAAGCCAACCTCCATTTCTGAAATCTGCAAAGCAAAATAGGAAACCACAAAATGATTATAAGAATTTGGAGAAGATTATTGTCCTGTTTCTTTACTAAGAGCTTTATTTTACCTGTTGAATGATAAGAGTAATTTGCAACTATGAATGATCACTGATTTCTCTCTCTCTTGCTAGGGGTTTTACTTGTAATTGGTACAACTATGTCTGCTACTATTAACTATTGTCCTTTTTTTCTCTTTTCCAAAAGTATTACTTTTCACCCAACAAGATGACAAAGACTAGTCATTACTCTCTCAATGCCTTTAATAATTGAAGCAAGAGAGGATAAGAAAGGGGTCGTTTGGTGTGATGGATAAAACTAGTTAATTGAGGATTTTTTTTAGTCCCCTTTAGGGAACGTTTGGTTTGAAGACAAGTTATGTTAGGATTAGTTATCATGTGATAAGTTATGAAAGGATTAGTTCTGTTGATTTATTGGTTTGTCATAGTCAAATGATATGCATGGCATAATTTTTAAGAATAAGGGGTCGTTTGGTGTGATGGATAAAAGGAATTAATCCCGAAATAATTTTTGAGTGCCCTTTAATTCGTTGTTTGGTTGCAAAGGCTGAAATAACTTATCCCAAGATTAATGGTTAGTCTTGGGATAATTTATCCCTCTCTGAGGTGGAATAGTAATCCAACAATAACTTATCCTGGTATAAAGTATGTAAAATAACAAAAATACCTCCCTTAAACTCTCTTTTATACACCACTTTACATTCATGTATATTAACATAATTTTTAATAATATTTATGATAATATTCACAACCTTAATTATTCATTGTTTTTATGATATTATATTTTTCTATTAAAAAATTGCATTTTATAAATATAATTTTTATTATGAATACATTATAAGTTGAACTTATTTGCCTAATTCTTATGTTTATTTATATTTTGATTTCTCTTAAAATGTTCAATCCACTACTAAATTACATATTTTTAATTATGCTTCTGAAACACCTTGAACAGCTCACCGTTAGGAGCAAGCCTATCTCCATTTCTGAAACCTGAAAAACAAAACAAAGAATCACAAAATGGTTTAATATTTCTACTAGTAATAGATTTAATTTACCTGTTGAATGCTAGAGCAATATGCAAACAATATACTGACTGTCTGCTAATTAATTTGCAATTGTTATACCAATTTGGAGAATGACTTTTCTCTCTTAGCTGTGTCCTTCTTTACTTTGAGGCATATATATTAAAAAACTAAAAATAACAGAACTTGTTATATTTTAATTGAATCAAACTTGTAACTTTTGGTTTGATTATCAAATTCCATACCATAATAATAAATTATTGGTGGACACTACCATTATATAAAGGCGAATGAGTAAATTATAAGTAGTGGTTGTAACAAATTGTTTTTTAAATAATTTTTCATAGAAGATGCCTTTTTTGAAGTTGAAATCTAACCACTACATTGTCTTGTTTTCAACACTTCAATTTATTTTTTTAAAAGTCATTTGATTTAATTCAAAGACTACACTAATCTCCTATTAATTTAATTCAACGACCTTCATACGATTGGTCTCTTCAATCAACTAGCATTAGCTTTATAAAATGACCAGAAACTTCCTACTAATTGTTTTCTTTGAGTTGGTTTTTTTTTCTTGAAATTAATGTGTTTTAAAAGTGTTCCTTTTATAATTTTCTCTTTATTTGATGAAATCAAATACTATGAAAAGATAGCCCAAGCAGAAAGGCACCCTCTTTTGCTCTAGCAAATAAATTCAATTTTAAATAGTCTTGTGTATCATAGGTTGCCACAATATATTCAACTTTTCGGGACAAGTTCAGACGGATTTTATGTCTTTTACCTGTTAAGTATTTTGTTTTCTTCTATAACATAAAAAGTCAAGAGGAAATGACTTCTTGCATATTTCTTTTATCAATAACCACCAAATAAGATCTAAACGTCAAATATTATTAAGGTGTGTAACAATAGCAATCATTCATTATAGCAGCCCAAAAGATGTCCGTCATTGTAAAGAAGTCCAACTGTGTCTTTCGTAATTATACTAAACTAACTTCACTTGTAATCTCAATCCTGAACATTCTCAAGGACAACATAGCAATATTTGCTGCTTCAACTCAACTAAGATCATATACATAACTTGATAAACAAACAAAGAGAAGTCTTGAAAATTATTTGGAGAATCACTTACCAATGATCTTGCTCGCTATATATAAGTTCACTATCGAATCATACATTGTGTTTGAGCAATCTCTGGCCACTCCTCCATCAATATGCAATTTGAGCATCACTCTCGGCTATATTAAAAATAGACCTTTTAAATATCAGTTCTGAAAATTATTTGAAAGCACAACTATAGAATGAAAAGGATAACATTGGGTAGAGATTCCATGAAACAAAAAAGATGAATTTATATAGATATTTATGGAGGAATACCAAACGATATCTTAAAGTTCTAAATTTAATATGTGGAGGTTATGAATATAAAAAAACATGAGAGTTATGAAAATTAATTCCAAAAATAAAGCAAATAAAGGAGTAGCAATTGAAAAGGTAATTAGATAAGAGTCATGAAAGAGAATATATAAAGCAAATAAAGGAGAAAAATAAATAAATGAAGGAGGAAAAAAGAATAGTGCAATTGATATTTAAGTGTGACCATAGAAAAAAATCAAATTATAATTAAATATTAATATTATATATATAATTGTTTGCGGGAAAGGATCCATCAAACGACATTTATATAACCAATTCAATGATAACCACAAAACAGATTAATAAGAAAAAAAATGCCCAAATCCATAAATTGAGATTGAGTTACAATTGACCTTTAAGAATATTTGCACCACTTTTAATATAATATGATGATATGATATGATGATTACAGTGTTCCCATCCGAATATAAATATTTTTTCACCTTCTTTTTTGTAATCAAACATTAAATTCATCCTGATCTGAAGATGATTCCTCGGCTTCACAGTGCAACAGACGCTACACACTGCACAAAACAATATAACAAAGGAAAAGAATCAACAAACAAGCAAAGAGAAGTAACGAAAAATAAAAAGCTGCTGAGATAAAAAAGAGTTCTTACATCTGTCAGAGTACCATTTGTTTTTATCATCACAGGTATTCCCTATTGATCTGTATAGTTGAAATATGAGCAATATTTGGCCAGTATTCCCCCTTCATAAATTCTAGACGTGGATTGAGCAATGGACAGTCTGAAATATATAGCTTAGAGAGGGCAGAGGGCATCCCTTTTACTGGAAGAGTCAACTTCACTAGCTTAAGAAAGGAATGATCAGCCAACCAGTTCGGAAATTTTGTACCTCTATATCCAGAGATTTCCAGTTCTTTTATGTTTGTGTTTGGTTGTAGTTCATCGAGTATGCCTCTTTCAGTTTGTGAATTATCAGCAATACTTCTACCCCACGACAATGATAACCTCTCAATATGCTCCTTTTCCCTCATGTTCGCCTTCAGAGCTTCCCTTCTATCAATTACATTTTGCAACTCTTTAATTGATAGAGATCCATACAAGTTGCAGAGTTCACCCAAATCTTTGAGTTTCAAACCACTTGGAAGACATGTAACTCCTAATAGCACCTGGAGGTTTTTCAACTTGCTAGGATGTAGCGGCATCTTCAACCGAGAACACCTCCTAATGTCAAGGTAATGCAAGTTGATCAAATTTCCCATCTGCAGCGGTAACTCCTCAAGATAATCACAAGACGACACAATAAGTGTCTCTAAGTTGTACAACACACAAATTGAATCTGGTAACTGTTTTATATCTGTCCAAGAAAGGTCCAAAAATCTTAGGAGTTTTAATTTGATAAATAAGTCATTTGCTAACTCCTTGATGTTATAACGAGACAATGACAATGCCCTTAAGAATGTTAGTCTTGGAAGTATGTTATGCAGCACCCTCTTGCTTAGATTAACTGAAAACAAATGGAGCTGGATATTTATCGGAAGCAATGTCCTTAATTGCTCCAATTTGTAGAGGGTTTTCAGTTTACCAAAACCACCCCTTGATGAATATGACGAAAAGTTACCATCACCCATGGAATACGACAAGTGTCGAGTTCGTTCCAACATATGATAACCTTCGATGTCTTCCAACCTGGTACAGCGTTTTGAAGATGTAATTTGGGCAAGATCATTGACAAGGTCATGCATAAAGAATTTCTCACCATCCATTTCAGAATATCTGGACAAGTTCAGGCCTACGAACGTCCCTTCCTTCCATTTAAAAGAATCAGGGACCCTGTCTAACAATGATCTTGATCTCATCTCGAGAATGTACTGGTTGCCTAGTTCTTCAACCGTTTCATCTTTTTGCAACTTCTGTATTTGCAACTTCTGTACTAGACCATTAGCGATCCACAGTTGAATGACTTGTTCTTTGTAAAATTGATAATCTTTTGGAAATATTGCGCAATAGGAAAAGCATCGCTTCAAATGTGGGGGAAGCTCATTGTAGCTCAACATCAATGCTGGTAAGATTCCATTGTCTGGAAGCTCCCATATTTCACTTCTCAAAATGCGTTTCCACTCTTCAATCGTTGATTTTGAGCGTAACTTCCCAGCAAGGATCTTTATAGCTAAAGGCAATCCTTTGCATTTCTCTGCAATTTTCTTTCCAATCTCTTCAAGTTCTAGATGTTCCTCAGCATCCCTGTTTTCTAATGAATGTCGTTTGAAAAAAGCCCAAGAGACTTCATTAGACAGAATCCCCACAT